CAGAAGGGCCTAGGTCGTGCTCGTCACGGCAGCATACGATCCCCACTGTTTCTGAAGGGAGGGGAGGCCCACGGTCCTCGTGGTCCGACCTCTCACTTTTACATGCTTCCATACTTCAGCAGAGTCATGGGCCTCACATCCACACTCTCAATAAAGCTGAGTCAGGTAATGGGACAAGTCAAGCCAAGTGGCAGAATATTAGTTAGGCTAGTTCCACCACAGGAAATACCATAATGTATAAACAGAAAATGAAAACAAATGAAAGAAATTCCAATCACATTATTTTATTTACAATGTGGGGTGAAAATAGAGAAGTCCGCACAATACATATTTTTAGTTGAGTTTTCAACCACTGGACTACCTATAGTATAAGTGAATGTATAGGGAGAAGGGTGGGTTTTTATGAATGAGCGTATTTCTAACTACCTATACTATTGGTAGGCATATTGGTACATCCATATTTAAATCTAAAGGCCACATTCCATGCATCAATTTCAATATAAAAATGGTTTATTTTACCTTTTTGCGTCGAACGATCCGTGTGAAGTTAGTACAACTACAGCTGTTTCATACCACTAGGGTACATCATCAGGTTGTTGGCAGAACGTTAGATAGAACAGCATTCATTCATAATGAACTTGTCGAAATAAATATGTCTATATAACGCAAACCCCTAAACATTCAGGTCCTGTTAAAACAAATTTTAATGCACATAGGCCTACAGTAAAATAAAACTTAGTCATGCACATTAGCAAAATTAAATTTACTGATTCCAGGTGTAATTCACAAAGCATTATTCATTCTCTCAAATTTTACTGAAGCAATCCATAATGTATATTAGGTGGGCCTTTCGCACCAAGCTCTGCCCCTAGTTTTTCGTGAGTTGCATCACCAGAGCTGACAAAAAAGGTTTACTACAACGTTTTTGATACTCAAGGTTGAAATTGATGTCATGATGGGTTAGCCTCTGGATCGTAAATTGCAATATATTTTATCTAACGTTCTGCCAACAACCTGATGATGTACCCTAGTGGTATGAAACAGCTGTAGTTGTACTAACTACACACGGATCGTTCGACGCAAAAAGGTAAAATAAACCATTTTTATATTGCAATTTACGATCCAGAGGCTAACCCATCATGACATCAATTTCAACCTTGAGTATCAAAAACGTTGTAGTAAACCTTTTTTGTCAGCTCTGGCGATGCAACTCACGAAAAACTAGGGGCAGAGCTTGGTGCGAAAGGCCCACCTAATATACATTATGGATTGCTTCAGTAAAATTTGAGAGAATGAATAATGCTTTGTGAATTACACCTGGAATCAGTAAATTTAATTTTGCTAATGTGCATGACTAAGTTTTATTTTACTGTAGGCCTATGTGCATTAAAATTTGTTTTAACAGGACCTGAATGTTTAGGGGTTTGCTTGCTAGCATAATTATATTTATAGCTTAATGACAAACAACATTTGGGTCCGGAAACAATCTCGCATTGAACTGACTGTCAACGAGCAACTTTGAAATTTATAGGTTTGGACTTTGAATCATTAGGCTACTTGGACAATTCAAGAATCATAAGTAAATATAGGCTTAATTAAATTACTATTCCATGGAGTTAAAAGGAAGTTATTTTAACTTTCCAGGATGATCTACACATTGTGGACTCCCTGGAGATACCAACTGATGAACCTCGATACCTTGAAGACCTCATCAGCACTCGTGGTTGGGGAATATCTGTCCTCTTTGTTGATGTGTAAGTTAAAATACTTAATCGTTAACCTAGATGTCACGTTACCTGATATCTGAGTAAACAGGTATCAGGTTCCAGGTGTTTGGGGGTACAGAAGGAAGTCTCGGATAAAATTTTAAGAAAGAAGCATAGAGCTGTCTAAATGTAAAATGTATCCTTTAAAAATGTTTCCTATATAATTAGTTTATTTCTCATAAATATATACCTACTACAAAGATATATTTTGGGCCCATTGAGCTATCTAGTGTACTATTTTCCAACTGAGTCTATATCAGTTGTGGCCTTGCTTGGGACGTGCTAAAATAATACTTCATACAGTTCAAGGTAGCATAACTTATTGTGTGGTCAATTGAAGAACCAACTTTAATTGTTTGTTTAACATAATACATCTACTTACAGGCCAGATCTGATGCCCAAAAATATTTCTTTGGCGTGTGAAGGATTCAAGCACATGAATCTAATGCCCGCATATGGTGAGTCTATGGCAAATTAAATTCCATTTTAATTTTCTCAGTATGGTGCTGAAGTAGAACGCTTCAAGAATTTTAAATGAATCATTCTGATTCATAGGGAGGGGAGATGTTTCCCCTCTATGAATCATAGTAGGAGAATTATTTCAATAGAAAAATTATGTTATTTTGTTAATTATTTAATTAATTTGCTGTGGTACTTATAATAGAACTAGCTGACCCGGCGAACTTCGTATCGTTTCCCCTAAGACAGACCGATGGAAAGAAAGTACCGTTACGTTTAATTTTCTCGTTCGCATCGCTCAATCACGTCCTGGTTGAAGTTCGTTCGCTACGCTCACTCACCTTTGGGTTGGAGCTCGTTCGCTACGCTCACTCACCTTTGGGTTGGAGCTCGTTCGCTACGCTCACTCATCTTTGGTTTGGAGCTCGTTCGCTGCGCTCACTTGCCTTCAGGTTAGCTCGTTCGCTACGCTCACTCGCCTCCAGGTTGAAGTTCCCTTTAGGTTGGAGCTCGTTCGCTGCGCTCACTTGCCTTCAGGTTAGCTCGTTCGCTACGCTAACTCGCCTCCAGGTTGAAGTTCGTTCGCTACGCTCACTCACCTTTTGGTTGCAAATTAGCTGTTGTCATAAATGTAAAAGAAATAATAGTGCTGCACCGGTTGGTAATCCTTGTAACATTAATGCTATTGAACATCATAGAACAGAACCAACTTGTTTAATTGAAACAGCTGTTAAGATTCATTAATTCCATTTCTCATAAAGTTAACATGGGAAACTCCAGAGCCACTGGGGCGGAGCCCTTTTAAGAATTTCGAAACGGGAAATAGTTTACGTCCGATTCGCATACCTACAGAATTTACACACCAAATTTCATAACGATCGGTGAAGTCGTTCCGGAGGAGTTTGCAGACAAACACTGTGACACGAGAATTTTATATATTAGATTGATCCAAACAAAATTATAAATTTTGTAGCAACCACTAAATATCTCACTTGATACCTTAGGATTGAATAAAATCAATACTGTACAAATTAAATAGTTAACATTCAAGAAGCCTTGAATTAAATTTAAATATTGATTTTTGTAATTTAAATAACTATTGTGTAATTTTATTCCAATAATCTTAAATAAAACTCATAATTATATATAGGCCTAAACAGTGACTTGATAGACTTTATGTCAATATATCCTCTGTCCAAGCTTCAAGGTGAGGATAATAGATAAAATTTGAGTAATGTGCTGTGAAACTGGCATCGAAACATCACACAGTTTGAAGCCTATTACTGCACACCACAACATAGTCTCTAGCAACCCCAAGCATCAGCAGTTCTTAAACTTTTTGGACTGGCGTCCCACCGTCTTGGACATTTTTCCTGCAAGCCTTTTTAGAACAATATTAAAAGTATAAAGTTATTTTATTCTAATTAATTTTGTTAAACTATTATGTACACTGGGAAACCCACACATAAGATAATTATGAGGGTAATTTTTTTGAAAATAGAATATCTAATTCTAAACACTAATGTTTGAGAAACTTTAAATAGCTTAAAATATATTTTTAATCTTCTATTTACAAGAGAATATCTGTTTTGATGTTCAATTTTCTTTGGATTCCAGCGAAATAGGGGTCTAAATCCTGTACTACAAATTATAAATGTAGCCTACTTTGGGCCAGGCTCAAAATAAAAAATATCCAATATCTAGAACTTCAAAAGATAATAATAAATTGAAGAATCTGTCATCATAGCTAACACTTCCTTTGTGAACTCTTTGAAAACAAATCTAAAAATTCAAAACTGTAATGTCTGATACCCCTTATAAATCAAACACTGTCAGAAGTGTTTGACAGGAGATAAATTTAACAATTTATTCAACCTTCCCATTAATTTCATTACAAAAACTTGAGTTAAGAAACCTAGGTTTTAAAGTCGTTCCATATGTTTACAAATTAGTTGGTAAATTCAGAGCAATTCTATCACAAATCCATTCTAACTATATTCCGTAAATTGCAGAACTAACGTGATCATCTCAACAATCAAGGTGACGTCATAATCGTCTTCTGTGTTCCTGTGTTCGTATTAACGTAATGATAATTATCTACAAGTCGTAAAAATTCATCAAAAAATAAATGGGCTAGGTTGGCCCTTTGCATATTGCAGCAATATTGAAACATTGTAGTCTTGGAAAATTTGAAGATATTTTCATCGATTGCAATATAAAAACGTTATTCACGTCCAAAAAGTCCCAAAACTATTGAAATCTACAATAATGCTCGGTAGGGTACAGTACTAATTCTGGTGATCAGCAGACCATATGAGTCCCAACTAAAAACATTTTTAATGTTGTGTCAGTGACCGACAGTATGGGGAACAGCTGGTATAGATTATTCATTGCCTTATTCCCTACTACCTTCCCTCATTTAACACCAATTCCTTTTCCTCATTAGCTGGTTGGCACTAATTGATTTAGACTTGCTGACTACCTACAACTGTATTGGATGCAAAAGTATAGCTTTAATATATGTTTAGGCTTGAACGTGTACAGTATGCTGAAACATGAGACACTAGTTCTGACGACAGCAGCCGTCGACCACATCGAGGAAAAACTCCTGTTCGCTCTTCACCGAACGGATTACAAGGATAAAATGAAGAAATTCAAGATAAATCAAGTGTAAAGTTATCTTGTAAATAATTAGCATTAGTTTTCAAAATGCTTGTTTATTTTAATTCCTAACTGTATTACATATGTTTTCAAGCTTTACTAACAATATTCCAGGATTCACAGTATATTACTGTAACAGAAAAATTATTACTTTAGAAAACTTTGAAAGCCTCCTTTCAAATTAGTTTACTGGGTTTAAGATATCCAATTGCAGAACGTTATTCATACTTGGCAGCTCGATTTCTTGTCACATTGTTTTCGGCTCCTAACGAAACTTGTAGAAGGGTGGGAATCAGCTGGAATAGTAGTGGATGAAGTGAAAAAACCAAGGAGCTGGTATCAGATTTGAAATAGCTAGCTTAGCCACAAGAGCTCGTTCGTGATCTCAATCAACGAACAAGCCTCATATTTACAGATGGCCAACGGCATCTTGATCCAGAGCTACTACATCGAGTTTAGATGTTGTTAAAATGCTTCTTTAGGTCATTGAGCAAGTCAGCTGAACTTTTGTGACCTGGGTAAGCCTGAAGTGCTTTCTGCACAGCCACATAACTGGATTGGAGGTCACCAACCTGCAAATACCAAATACAAAGGTTTTATCATAGACTTGCCAACTCATAAGCACAGCAGACTTCTTATCCCATTGTAAAATAAGAAGCTTGTTTTGGGTTGATTTTATGATTTATACATTTATATAACTAGGAGACGAGGTATTATTTATGATTAGAACCATAGGGATAACAAATCTACCATGGAAATATATGTTTGTTTTATCTATGGTTAAAATTTAGCTTTAATAGTGACTGTCTTAAAAATGGTATATTGATATAACAAATTCACCACGGATTGAGATTGTGAATATGGTTGATTATGCATTACTCATACCAAAGTGATGTGTACTTTAATCGATTTGAGGTTTAAAATGTCTACAATTATTCTTGGTACAACAGTTAATTATCAGAAAAATTATTTGCTGAAAGCTCATTGACTAGCTCCCCGCTAGTATTTTGTGATTTTTATTTTCTCGGCTGACCTATTATATTCTGCAGACGTCAAATATCAATTGCTCAGGCTTGTTTACTTGGTTGGTCTAGTTCACACACCACAATGAGTTTTGTTTTAAATTTCAGTTGTCAGCTTATATCACTCACACCGCAATTTATGGCTTATGGGCTTTAGAATAAATCTACAATATAGAATATACTAAGCTTTTTTATTATTTTTTTATTATTGTGGTTTAGCGGCCTCTTTTAACCTTGCATTTGCCCGTCCACACAGACTAAGCGCCCGTGCGTGGATCGTTAACAGCAAAGCAAGGAGTGAGCCGGTACAGTACAAAGGTGAACTGTACTGATAAAATGTTATCGGTAGTGACCAGGATCCGAACCCACGACATCGCTGCCTTGGGCCCGAAGTCCGCGACGCTACCGACTGAGCCACCGACTCACTAGCTGGACTAGACTATAGTTTGTGATGAGATGTCGCCGGGGAGTTATTAGACTGTCTCACTCTGTAAAAGATTTATTTAACTCATTAACTGAATAAACAACTCTCATTCTCCTCTAGACTTGTTTACCACCAAATAAAACAGTGTAGTAAACATAACCTGTTATGGTTTCAACTTGGGTTAGCTGGCTAACCCAAAACCTTGGTTAGGGTCCTAGACTATACAAAAGTCGGAGTTTAACATCCTTAAAAATAGGCACATTATAAGTATAAGAGCAACATAAGTAACAAACCCCATTGTCAATAAGAGCGCCATTGTAGAAAGGTTCGTAGAGGTAGGGGGCGAGAGCACCTGCCGCCTGGAACATAGCCCTCGCCTGGGACGTGTTGCCCCGCCTGTATTCCAACACACCGAGGTTGTTGTAGGTGGGGGCGTGACTAGAGTCTACAGACAACACTAGTCGCAGACACTGAGAGGCCAGCTTCAAGTCTCCCAAGGCCTTGGTACAACAGTCATGATGTATGTTAATTTTTACCTCAAACCTAAAAGTCAAATTTGAAATCACAGCTACTTAAGTTTTATGATACGTCGCTTGAGTAAAGCTCATGACCTAAATAATTTTATGGCCCTTGTTGCCAGCAGTCATGAGCCAATTCCTCCGTATAAAGCTGATAATGTAACTAAAATAATTTAAACACTATTCAGTATTCACGCCTTAACCCTCCCAGTGTTACTTGACGAAAATTCGACAAGCAGCACACTTTGTGTAGTGTTACTTGTCGATTTTTCGACACGCAGACATCGTTTACGGCGAAGGCTCTATGACTGACTGAATCGGATTGAACTGGATCGAGTTAGGTATCGTTCTTTCCGTAATATTCTAAGCTTTCTCCAGAGGTCTGTCTCTAAGCGCTATTCATTTTAGTTCCGAAAATATTGTAGCAGACAGCTGACGTGCGTGTATTTGTAAACAGCTAGGTTCCCCCGGACCGATGACTGATGTGTTTTATTACGTTTATCATTGTTTTAGTGTTAAAAATCAAAAGTAGTGATATACGTGGTGCATTATAAGAAGATTTAAGTGGTTTTGAAGTGCTGGTTGATGATCCTGAAGAAGTAGGTAGTGATATTGATGTAAATTATCAGCCAGATTCCTAGCTATGGTTAGGCTATGCATTCTTAGCTAAACGCTATGTACTGAAATCAGTTTTTTGCCCATAACTTATTTATTTGCAAATATACTTCCTTATATTATTATATATTTGTAATCCTCATAAAACTTAGAACAAAGTGGCTATTTTCAAATATTTATAGGCCTATAATTTATACAATTTCATTGAGCGCAAACTTATTTTTTTTTTTTTAATTTTCGAAATTATATTTTTTTTTACCTAAAAATTTTTTTTTTTTTTTTAATGTTCCTTATGTTTTATATATAATATTGAAGCCCATGATTTTCCAAACAAAATGGTATATAGAACATTAGAATTAACATTGTTTTAAGCTTCTCAGATCCGTTTTAATAAAACCTTGCAAATGCGCCAAAAATAGGTGGACATTAAGGCCTAAACTATGGACACTTGGAGGGTTAAACGGTTATCTTGCATAGACAATATTTAGTAAAAACACAGTAGCTTTCAGACTATGAAATGTTTGGATAAGTGTTTTTTTTTTCAAATACAAGCTAAGATTTTAATATTTCAGCTTTTTATATTTCTTGGTAGATTTTTTAGAACAGAAATTAATCACTACATAATGTTGCATAGCCTAATTGTTTAAGTGTATTATGCATTAGAGCATTTCAGGCTGTTTAATATTTCTCAAATAAATAAAATATACATATGTAGGAAGATAAGTAATGAAATAGATAGGTTAAACTACCAACTACCCCTCAAACCAAGAGCTCCTATCCTCTCAAACTATATCCAATACATTCATGCCAAATTCAAATGAAGTAAATATAAATTACTGTATCGTATATTCCAAAGGTGAGAAAACTCACACATGAAAATAGTCACACAATAAAATAATTTAAATACTGTCCCAATACAAAAGTTACTCACAATTGCAATATTAGCAATATTGTACCAAACGTCTGCTGCCGTTTCATCTATGGCGAGACTGAGAGCTCGCTCAAAACAGCTGACAGTCATATCATACTGCTGGGAGTAGAAGCAACACAAACCAAGATTGTTGAACAACTCGGTGTTGTACAGACCCATCTGAAGCAGCCTCCTGACAGAAATGAAATTGTGTAGTTACACAAATGAAAAATCGCCTGTTAAATGTGTCAAGTTCTTTGACTATAAATGATAGAACTAGAAATACAATTCTTATGTCCCTAGCTGTAGCCAGATTTGACAAAATTGACCTATTGGATTTGATCCACGGACAGTATATTGATGTCACTTGATTTCTCTTTGTTGGTACAAATTTCTAATCACATTGAAAGGATAACTTATTGTAAACGTAAACTATGGATTTCTTTATGTTACTTTATATACTACAGTACGGTACCAAAAATTAAGGTAGAAAATCAAAATTTGACAGCTGTGCACTCTGTGAGAGTGAACAAGGTTCATTCAACCAGGTTCTATTGCAATATTCAATTCAAAACTGGCTACAGCCTACAGCTGGTCTATATAGATGAATTCCACTTCGGTATCCAAAACTCCCCAGTCCAATAATTGTCAGATGGAGAACAAGGAATCCCTTAAAACATTGCTATTCACACTCTAAAAGATGGGTGTTTGAGCTATTTTTACTTTGGAAAATACCAACAATTAACTTTTAAAATGTAATTTATAGTTAGTAGAAATTATAGTTGTTATTTATTACTGTTAGCTTGTTAAAAATATTTATTTCATACTACTGTATCGTTATAATTGCACTCATACAAATCTCCTTTCATGATGCATTTAATTATTTTACACCTTATCTCTAAGAATAGTAAGAATATTATGAAATGGTGTAAGTTTGCTGTAGTGAGGAATAAATTATTTAGGTTGGTGGCCTCTTTTAACCTTGCATTTGCCCGTCCACATAGACTACAGATCTGTGCGTGGAACAAATCCAGCGAAGCAAGGAGTGAGCCGGCACAGTACAAAGGTGAACTGTACTAATAAAAGTATGTGGCAGTGACCAGGATCCGAACCCACGACACCACTGCCTTGGGCCCGAAGTCCGCGACGCTACCAACTGAGCCACTGACTCACCTAAATAGCTTTTGCAACTCCAAATTTCTAGCGTTATCATAAATTAAAATTTTTAGAACCTGACTTATATCTGAAGTTTTGACTTTTATAAAGGAAAGATTTCAAATTTTCTTTCAATCTTAAACATTTAAGTACAAACTTGTTTTGATATTCCTTAGACTTATCCAAAATCACATTGTACAATGTCATCAAACTTAAAGCACTTAAGGTACCCCTTGTGACATATCAAATGAAAGAGCATGAAAAAAGAAAATTTTTGGTGAAAAAATATTTAAGTTATAAGTTTTAGAAAATATTTAAGCAGTTTAAGTTATACGTGACCGCTTTCAGCATGCGCTGCAACTAACCTCCAGCGGTCACGTATAACTAAAACTGCCATATCTCAGTTAATACTCGTCCGATCTTAAAGATAAAGGTGTCGATCGATTTGTAATAAAATTGCCTTAAAATGTTAATCTTATAAAACTTTTGTAAAATCAACGGTTTTCGAGTAATTTAAGAAACAAAATTTTAAACAGCCGCCATTTTGTTTTATGAATTTGAAAAATCGTCATAATTTTTTTGTAGCTTTGTCTAGTTGTCATAAATGTTTGTGCAAAGTTTCAACTTCGTATGTTTAACCAATTTTCAGAAAAAAATTAATAAGTGAAAAAAACAAAATGGCGGCTATCTGAGTAACTAAGGATTTCTGGACAATTTAAACATGATATTTAGATATGTTTCTTACCCAGGAACAATGCCCTAAAATATTGGTAGAGAGTTCCGGGACACCCTGTATATCACTTAATATTTAAAATATTTAATCCAGACTTAGGTTTAATAAATTTTTTGGTATTTAAAAACTATTGTGGTTGCATTGGCATTGTTTTCTTTTGGTTTGAAAAATGGTTGCTAAATCATATCCTACATAGCTGAGCTGACTATGTTACCTGTAAAATCTCAGGGCAACTTCGGGTTGGTCGCCGTAAAAGTGGTTCACTGCGATGCAAGCAATTGCTTCTATGTTAGTGGCATCTTTTTGAAGAATCTCCTTGTAGTACTTCACTGAAGCTGGAATATTGTTGAGACCCTCTAGGACTCTAGGAAGTAAAATAACTTATGAACGTTTTCAAAATTCAGTTAGTTCTCTGTAATTTATTTCAAAACTCGTGGGCGAATCAGTCAGTTCAGGTGATACAAACAATGATTCTCATGTGTAACCGTTTTAGATTCGTCAATGTTAGACAACACTCACTCGCCTACTTGGCAACTCTACATTAAAATTGCTTACCTTGCAATTTCCGTCATCAACGTGACCTCATTGGGAAATATTTCCAAACCAGATCGACAAATATCTACTGCGCTGAGAGGCTGGTCTAAACGGATGTAAACTCTTGCGATGCGCAGGAATCTGCAATCAGTCGGAACAATACTGCACCATACTATTTGAAAAATTGTAATATATCTGTCAACAATATTTCCTACCGTGAGATTAACCAAATGTGTTCAAACTAAAATGTTTGAATTTCTATGAAAAAAATATACTGAGGAAACTATGATGGCTTTTGAAAGAACAAACTCCTTTTTGACAGGAATGGGAGTAAGAGTAATGCATGATCAATAAAGACTTTTTTATATAGAAAGAGTAAATTTTAAGTAGGGAGGACATTGTAGAACCAAAGTTACATAGATTCCTCATCTAGTATACATAGTGCCTTAAAGAATAAAGTGATTGCAGCGCTCACCCTTCAATCGTAGGTTGTTGTTTAAGGGCAGAACGAAGTTGCTGTTCTGAATCTCGCAAGAGTCCGAGCAGAAAATAACATTTAGCTAACTGTACTTTCCACCACCAGTCCTTAAACTGAGCTGCTTTGGTGGCTTCAACAGCTAGGTCCAAAGCCTAGGGAATAAAGAATTGGGTAAGGGCCATCAGTACAGTATCAGATTTCATTAGAAAATTGAAACTAAATTGGTGAGTTAAATGGAATTTGAATTTTGAGCATAACTTACGTTGCGGACATCATTTTCATGATAGAAAATGTATTGAAACAGAGGTTTGGCTAGCTTTTCGTCGGCAGCATACTTTGGCAGATTCAGTCTAGCGACCTGTAAACCATAAAGACGTTAATTGTAAAAAAAAATGTATTGAAAATAAAATTCTGTTGAAGGATCAAAATTACATCAAGTACAACTAAAATGGAACACAAAAAAATTATCACCTGAATAAAAGGACCGTCTGGCTGACTCATCATGGAGGCAGTGCCAAGCCGGACAGTTCGAGCGTTTTGTGAAGTGGATGGTCGCGCAGACCGAGCGGTACGAGGGGTTCTCAACGCAGCTTCTAAACTGGTAGCTCGACCACTCTGAGTGTTTGGCCGGACGACTCCACTCACTGGCCGACCTGTCTCTCCTCGGGGCCTATTAAAAAAAAATCATTGTTTTTCCTTCAAAGATTATATTCAGAATATTCCAAAATTCAATCTTATAGCCGCTGTATTACTGATGAATGTTAAAAATAGGGTATACCTGATATTGAATGAGGGTATGGTACACTAGACTCAATTACTGTTGGATTACTCAATACTGTTGGGTTCATATACCTCTTGAAAGTATATGAACTGAATATATAGGCCCTAACCTATATCCCTGAAGATCCCTGAATCCGTCTCGTTGAATAAGTTCGAGATAGAAGAGTGCTCTGTTGTGAAATTTTTAGGTATAACTGTGGATAAAATGTTGTCATGGTCCAATCATGTATCACAGCTTTGTTGCAAGTTGAACCGCATCTGCCATGCACTTAGGACGTTGCAACCTCTTCTTGACTGGGAAATGTTAGTTGCAGTCTACTATGGTTGTTTTTTCTCAGTCATGACTTATGGTATTGAAGTCTGGGGTGGTTCTTCCCATGCTGATAAGGTCTTTACCGTACAAAAAAGGGCAGTGCGTATCCCCAATTGCTTACCACCACTCTATTCATGCAGAGGAGTCTTCCGGGAGAACAACATTTTAACTTTGCCTTCTATATTCATCTACAGAGCAATAATGTCTGCAGTAAATCATCTGAAGGATATTCCATCGGTTGGTCAATGTCATAGATACCCCACTAGGCATGGAGAAGATCTTCGTACTCCATGTCATCGTCTGACCCTTTCTGAAAGGAATGCAAATTTTTCGGGCCCATTTTTCTTTAATAGGCTTCCTGAACAAGTAAAGCAGTGCAGTTCAAGGTTGGGTTCTAGAGGTTTTGGGAAACTACTAAAAAATTATTTGGTGGAAGGTGAGTTTTATAGCAGGTACCGAAGAATTCCTGTCTGCCTGATCTCATTCAACATGGCATTTTTATTTGACTTATTTGTTTAAATATTTAGAATAAAATAGATTTAACTAATTATTTTTTGTTTTGATTTAAATGCTACTAGACCATATAACTTAGGCTAATGTATTTGACGATTGAGATGTGCATTGTATAATTTGTACCCAATTAATGAATAAAATACTGTATGTCTATGTCTATGTCTATACCTATACCCTGGTCCTACGTGCCATATAAAGTAAGTTAGGTCTACCATAACAAAAGGTATAAGATGTGATGTTAGTTGCCTGACCGAAAGCCCTGTCCAGTGGTCTGGGGGTTGGCAGCAGTGCGCAGTGAAGTGCCAGGTCGAGGAGCTTGAGCTAGTGTGTCCATGTCAAAAGCGGTCTCAGCAATACCTTCTTCCTCAGCTTCAATATCATCAACCATGATCTGAGCAGTCAAAGCCTTCATTTTCAATGCCCAAATAGCCTGTAATAGAAAATGACAAAATCAAGTCTTATTATCGATCATCACACTGTGTTGAGCTTACTAGCCTAATATGATAATCGCTACTTAATAAATTTTATTCCAAATTATCTCTTACCTGGTCTCTTGGGTTGAGTTCTAGAAGCTCTGTACATTTTGTACAGCAATCTTCAAATTTCTGCCTACGGAAAAGACTGAGTGCTTCATAAAATGGATCCATGTGAATAATTAGGTAGACTATGAACTGATAATAATGATAAATCTATCTAGCCTTGAATATCGAATTGGCCCATTTTGGATATTTGAATAAGTTATGTACGGTAACTTATGTATCTATAACTTGGCTTTAATCGAGAACCAAAAATAAAAATGATATTTAATAAAAACTATTAAACAAAAGTTGGAACTAAGATTTTAAAAAACAAAACAAACTTATTGTAAATGTAAACCTAAAATATCTATTTCTGTTTAGGCCTAGGCCTAGATTGTCATTAAACATTTATGTTTCACAAGTTTTCACTTTCAATGATTAACCTATCCCAAGTGAATATGATACCGATTTACAACATCAACAATAATGTTTAATTTTCACCGATATTTTCGTTTTAACCATCAAATATCCTAATAAAACATCACTGGACTGGACACTAGACCTAGGACCTTAGGATAGTTTGACAGTTGACACATCTTTGTTTACATACCCAATACTGAAAACGCTTTCAGTTGCTAGGCAACAAGGCAAAGGCAAACAAATTACATATTTTGGCTTATTGCATTGGATAACTGATAGATCATGTTTTTTTATACTACCACCTACAGCTAATTTTTATTTTCCAATTAAGAAATCTTGACTGATGAATTTGGCCGAAACATTTATTAAAGATTATAAACTAATTATAGCGCTAGTTATGATTATAGTCATATCGAAATTAATAGATTGACTACTTTGTCTAAACCATTATGTGTGACACCATCTCATAAGCTATGGTTCCACAGACTGCGGAACTTCCGCCATGCGGTGCGTAATTTTCCACAGCGGGAAAATATGCAGCGTAAATCTGAAGGGATGGTTCAACTGACTGCGGAAATAACGTTGCGGAAATTCAGTTCTGTCCATACTATGTACTGTAAAATTTATATATTACTACTATAGATAAAACAATGAGTATGTTTTATCACAGATAAAACGTAGTATGTTTTATCTATGTTACTACCTAATACCATTGGCTATATAACACTACATAGTAGTGTTATATAGTCATATAATAGTAGTGCCCACAGTCACTGACCAAATCTCTACTATGACCAGCAGCGCTCCTCCTCCTGTAATGTAGTGGTGCTCATTGCAGATACTGGGGTGTCCTGCCACTCCCACCTGTAACATTACATAGAGGTCTTATAATAGCAAAGCAGTGACCACAGTCACTGACCGAAGTTCTAGGTATGACCAGCAGCGCTCCTCCTCCCGTAATATACCGGGGTGTGCGGGTGTGCTCACTGTAAATACTGGGGTGTCCTGCCTGGTCCTGCCACTCCCACCTGTAACATTACCATAGATTAAACATTATGACATTACATAGAGGTTATATAATAGTAGTGAATTGAACAATGTTTTACACTATTCCATAGTAGTGTTATATAGTCAATGCTAATACCCTATGTATTGCGTCATAACAATGCATTTTTCTTACTCTCACTTTACTTAGCTTTCTGCTGCACCAGGCTGAAGATAGCTGACGGTCCATCTGACGACCTGTATTTTTGCCCATTTGATTTATGACAGGCCGAGTGGTAACTGGACGGAATTCAAAATATAGTAGACCTCCATATGGATAGGATACATTTGGAAAAATGTAGTTTGCTATTTTATATTTTGATTAAATTAAACATTATTAATTTCATCGTTTAGACCACGTTGTATGTATGTATCTGTATAACTGATGTATGTTTTCGTGTTAAATATGTAAATTGTTTAGGACTACTTCACTTCTACATAATAATGCACATATTATTATTTATATTAGAAACTTATGGGAGAAAGTATGTGTCAGAATGCTGATACCGTTTATTATTTATATTAGAAATGATGAAAAACATTTGGTATTCAAAAGAATCCAGGTCCCAGGTAGGGTAGGGAGGAGAAATAGCAATGCGACCTAAGCCTAAGTGGAATGTAAAGATTCAAAACATCCAACTCGAGATGCATACCACTTAGCTGAACGCTGAACTCCCAAAACATATGAGTAAGAATTTACCTGGATAGGTGGATGGCCTTATTGAAATACACCCAGAACTGAAAATTAGCTTGAACTTAAATTAGAAATGTACAGCTCCCAACTAACTAAATTATTATTTATCATTCATAATTTTGGTATTTTTAGTTGATACGGGTATTGTTTTGGCTACCAGTAAATAAGTTAAAAAAAAATGTATTACAATTATTATTGTATGTAAATTACATTATGAGTATTATTACATTATGTGTGACATTATTATTATAACTTTCTGGAAAGTGTCAAGGGTTTTGATATCAAAACCCCTGCTCCTTTTATGGTCCAATCATGCTGGTTCGCCAACTCATAATGAAGTGTATCCCAACCTACATCTCAAAACCAAATGTTATCAAAGTCGGACAAAGATTACTCAAGTTATTGCGTTCACGTACGTGTATACACACATACAACAATTCAAACGAATTGTGGTTTTATGTCGAGTTCTTAACCGTGGCACGTACCGTAAGTAAGGTAATAGGCATTTGCCCTATGAACAAATGCACTAAATTATACCCTTAAAAAGGTCTAAAGACTTCAAAAACAGTATAGAGATTGACTGACAAATGGGTAATATTATTAACACATAAACCATTTTATTAGTAAAGGAATAACACATCAAACAACTATAAATCATTTCTATATGTGGAGAACCTTGGAAAACCCCGTGTGAACATTTCGTGTTAAGTGATAGACGGGTGGACAGTGCGCTAATAGAATAAATCGTACATTTTAATTACTTCTATAGCAACAACCTAGGTGGTGGCAGATGTTAGATGTAAAATATGTTATTAATAGTTATTGGAACTAGACCATGAAAGAATTAAAAATGATTTATATAGGTGGAGAGCCTTGGATAATCCCGTCTGAACACGACGTGTTAAGTGATACAACGATGAGCTAATTGAATAAGTCCGAAGTTTCGACGACTTCTACAACAACAACCTAGGTGGTGGCAGATCTAAGCTTAAAATATGTCTTAAATAGTTATTGGAACTAGACCATGAAACAATTAAAATTGATTTCTAGAGGTGGAGAGCCTTGGATAATCCCTTTTGAACATGGCGTGTAAAGTGATACAACGATTAGTTATTAAATAAACCTAAAGTTTCGACCACTTCTATAGCAACAACCTAGGTGGTGGCAGATCTATGGTTAAAATATGTCATTAATAGTTATTAAAACTAGACTATGAAACAATTAAAAATAATTTCCATTGGTGGAGAGCCTTGGATAATCGCGTCTGAACATGGCGTGTTAAGCGATACAACGATGAGCTAATTGAATAAATCATAAGTTTCGGCGACTTCTACAGTAACAACCTAGGTGGTGGCAGGTCTAAGCTTAAATTAGGATATTAATGGTTATTGAAACTAGACTTTGAAACAAATATAAAAGATTGCTATAGGTGGAGAGTCTTGGATAATCGCGTCTGAACATGGCGTGTTAAGTGATAGACGGTAAGCTTAACACTCAAGAGGTAAATTACTAGTTTCCCCGTCTCACATTGAGACGACTAAATAATCTATTTGATATCATCCTTCCGATTAAATTATGTTTCAAAAACTAAGAACTTATGAAATGTAATGTTAAAATTGTTATAGTCTTGACATTTTTGAAAGCGTATTTTAAACATGTTGTGATGGCATAACTCAGTGAGAACATTGCGTGTTAAGTCATAGACTGGTGGCGACGGTGCGCTAATAGAATAAATCGTAAGTTTTAACGACTTCTATTGCAATAACCTAGGTGGTGGCAGATGTTAGATGTAAAATATGTTATTAATAGTTATTGGAACTAGACCATTAAAAAATTAAAAATGATTTCTATAGGTGGAGAGCCTTGGATAATCCCGACTGAACATGGCGTGGTTAGCGATACAACGATGAGCTAATTGAATAAATCCTAAGAATGTCATGTTCTACGCTTGAATTGCATGTCTGCACAACTGCACACTAAAGAAATTAGCAACGTTTTTTTCACAGGATTTTAGAAACCATAACTTAGTGGCTCATTTCAGTACTAAAATTACAACATTATCAACACGTATTTTTTTTAAGATAACGTGTTTTGTAATAGATAATGAGCTGATGGGGAACTGTATTAAATAAGTAAAGATAATTGATTAAACTATACTCCTTTGTTATTTTATAACAGATACCACAACCATTTGTTATTAGAAATTAACAAATCATATACAACAGTTGTTGAGACGCATACGAATCGTCACTGTGGGAATTCCGGGAATTGACCCTCAATTCTAAATAAAAATAATGTCAGTATTTGCAAAAACAGGACGCCGATTCAATTTAACACTAAAAAAACCTCCACAGAAACTGTCGTTCATATCCGTCATGACAAATCTAACATGCGAGGCACCAGTCTCGCAATTCAACCATTCGTCATCAGAAAAATTGCACATAATTCCCGTACATTAACATTTTGGTCATGTTTGAATAAAAAACCCTATTGCCAGTGAAGCAGTGTGAAAGTCCTGTTTAACTACGAGAAGACAATTGAAAACGTATGATCATTACGGTAAATTGGTTTTATATGTAGAAAATCCCGCTCATTTGATCCAGTAGTTTTCACTTTATTTAAAAAGAATTTCACGTAAAGCGTAACTTTCACATCCATAATGTTATTTCCTTCTATCCCAGACTTTTACCCATTGACTTGGTCAGTACTGTAATCCACTAAATACAGGCTACTCACAGACATTCTATTTTATAACAAAAT